GCGTCTTTCCACCCTGGTAAATCCTGTTGCTCCCATTAGTGTTGCACGCTGCACAAATCAGCCAAGGATCAGGTCCTCCAGCAAATCCCAGTGGACTTTCCAGGTCTGAGGTTAACCCATAATGAGTAGCATTTAGTGAGGTATTAGTAAGGATGGTTCTTTAACTCCACCGATGATCTAATAATAATTTTGGTGCATATTTTTTCTGCTGCCTTAACCTGGCCTGAATTCAGTTTTGGCCTTGCTTTGAGCAGAAATTTAGACCTCCTAAGGTCCCTTCCAACCTGAATTATTTTAGGAGTCTATCGGTATTTCCTATTGTTGTTAAGTCTTTACTCAAGGCCGCTATCAGAAATAGAGGAATAAGTGAGAGCTTGGAAACTGTCTATACTGTTCTGCATTGATTGCCATTATCCACCTGCAACTGTTCCTGGTCTTTCAGGTGCACCTGCAATTTCCAGCTGACTACTTTATTCCTCTGCATTTAATAGCTTTAAATAAAGTCTTATTTAATAGTGTTCCTTCCTACAGCAAAGAGAAAAATGAGTGGAGGGTCTCTTCAGAACAATGTCAGTCTTCTCCAAGTAAACTTCTGTCTCTCTCTGCAGACCCATTGCACGAAGCAGTTAAGTCTTAATATGTTTCATTCAGTGCGATGGTATCTCTGCAGCCGCCAGGCTGGGAGAAGCGAAATGTTCAGTTCCTTGGCAGCCTCATGTTCACACAGATCAGTGGTATAATTTTGTGTACCAGTTACAATTAAAAGAACATTCTCAGCCTGTGACATAGCAGTACAGCTGACTGCCTCAGAGTGATGCTCTGATTGCTCGCTGACGGCTCCTGAGATTTTTGTTAATGTATAGATACATATAGAACAAGAGCAGGCATTCAGTTGTCAGGGACAAGAGATGCTTTCAGTTTTTGTAAAGGGAACCAAAGACAAGAGATCCAACGTCTTGAGGAATAATGCAGTTTCATACCAAATATCAAGTTCTCTTATCCTTCCAGTTGAAGAGGCGTTGGCTTGTTATGCTCATGGGGAGCTTGAATCTCGCGCGTGGGGCTTGTTTGGCTAGTAAGGAGAGTAATGCAAACAATAAGTAGCCCACAAACACTTCAGAGAGCACAGTTTCAACACTCTACCACTTTGAAGGACCTTCAGTTTTATCTGAATTTTTACTTCATTTGTGTGGACCCTGGTCAGCTGCTGAGTGTCCCCCTGGTGCCCCAGCTTGCATGACCTTCGGGGCAGCTGAGACTATGTGCTGACTTATTACAGTCATCACTTTACGTACAGGTGCCTCATGTGCTTCCCAAACTACAATTCATTCCAGCTCTGGCCGTGAGCACTAATCTGTCCCAGAAGTGTGTATTGTTTCAATGTCAATGTTGAAACATGTGCTGGAGCACATTTGGAAAAAAAAAAACAAAACCAAACAAACCCTAATTGCAGTCTTTGCGGTTGGGCTCCCTCTCTAGCAGAACAAGTGACAACTTGACACATTCTGCTCCAAACACACGAGCATTGTTTTGGCCAGCTCTGCATACCAGCTGAGCCTTTTGATCCTCTCTATAAAGTCTCTCGCTATTAGTGTTGTGTTTGGATCTGGTTATTCCTCTGTGGACAAGAAGTTCTGCGAGTACGAAAGCTTCAGATGGCTGAGCTTCTCCGAGATGCGAGCTTTCTCCTGACTCAGCGAGGGCTATAATATCAGCAGCTATATTTTGACTCGCAGGGGATGAAGGCACCATTTGAGCCTTGTCTTCTAACCTTGGATTGGACTGTGCCAGGGTGCCACACGCATTCACGTGTCCTTCAATCTAAAATGGCTTGGATTTTCTCCTGGCTAATATGATTCATGTCTGACCTGACCGATTCATGGCATTTTTAGCCATGTTATGTACACAGAAGTGATAAGTAGTACCCCTTTTATCAGATCCCTGCATCGCAGATTATGACCCTGTGGACTCCAGACAGATGTCCCTGGTGATTTATGACATTGGAAATGAGTCGGATGAGGATACCACTGCTTTGCCTTACAAGGGAGTTGTGGGGGGTATACCATTAATGAGTGTGAGGCCCCTAAATACTATGCCTAGGAGGTGGAGTGGGGAGAGACACCAGCTGTTCCTGAAGGAACGTCTTTCGCAAGCTTTCCAGGGGCACCGTGCCAGCTCGAAGCAAGACTAGCTGGCTGCCTTCTGCTGCAGCGATGAAATCGTCCCATGAATTTGTTCAACCATGAGCATTTACCTTGTTCTACTTCAGGGATTTGCGAGTGGGAAGTCAGAGCAGACAGTTGAAAACTCAGCAGTTAGGAAGAGTGGGGTAACTGCAACTCGTATGTTCTCTCATTTCAATGTTGTTATGAATTTCAAACCAAAAAAATGTGTGACTAATCCTGTCTCGGAAGTGCAGTTGCTGTGGTTATAGAAGGAGAAACGTTGCAGCAGTCACCTTCCTCGCAGGATCCCTGCTCCCTCCCTCGAGCTAATTCTGCCTTGCTCCCCCAACCCCAGCATGTTTTCGCCTGGCCACAGGTTTGCGACGTGCCTGATGGAGAGGTACAAGGTTAGCTCATATGTATCTTTTTCCGAACTTCGGAGGCAATAGACACTGATTATTCGAGGGTGTACAGAAAACATATCTACTTTGATGTATGTACTGTAAATTTCTAATTTATCACTGTAAAAAAAAACCCAAAACTTTGCTATTTAATTTTTATATCGAAATAAAATTTTACCCTCTGTGGAGAACTAAGGTATCGCTGCCAGCCTTCGCGTTTTTGCTGAGTTTCTTTCTTATGTTGGCTGCATCACTGTTGCGAGCCCTTTCTTTTCTCCCTGGAGGAGGAAGGATGGCATGCTCACATTGCAAGGAGGGGATGGTGCTAGGGGGTTAAAACAGCACAACTGGGCTCTAAATGCAGGCTCCGGGAACACCTTTGCCAAATGGAAATAGCTGAGAGCAGTAACGTTGTTGGGCAACGGTGAAAGGATGTGCATGCTTAGGTGCTTGCATGCTAAGGCAAAGACAGTTGTTTCGGAGATGCTGTGTGGGTCCCACACTGGCCTGCTGAGACTCGGGCTGTTCTTCTGTGCGCCAGCGAATGTCTCATCTGGGCCAAGCAGGGGAGCGGGACCACAACCGTGCACTACCCGCAGCTCCTGGGAAATGCAGGGCCTTGCAGAAGGCTCCTTTTTGCCTCAACTGTGACAGTGTCTGCGTCTAAATACGCATTCAGCTCCGGGAATTATGGTGGAGACTGCCACAGTCTGGCCTGTTAAGGATACCAGAATTGTTAGTAGCTTTTTGGAAAGGGAAAACCTATTTTTAGTAATACACTTGAAACGCATTCAATCCTCGGGATATTTTCAGCCCTTCAGAGGAGAAATTTAATGTATTCTCTACATTTTATTGCCTTTTTTTCAATTAATCTAATTTATGCTCTGCTTATTTTTATCCCTTTTTGTCATACCTGTCCATCGGTTACAATGTACAGTGAGAGCTGAGTTCCTTCTTTTTGTGCATGTTCTTCACCAGTTCCTTTGACACTGATATTACAGTTTATGATATTAATTATTATCTTAACCCACCTAATAATCTATCTACATCATGAAGCATTCTGTATACAGGATTACTTAGATTAGCATAGTATTATTCTAATAAGGAACTAAATCAGACCAGAGTGGACAATACTGAGCATGTGCTATAAAGAAGACAGTAGGAATTATCAGTTGGGTATCTATACCTAATCAAGTTCTAAAGAACAGCATCTAAACCCGGTAATTAGAGTGATTTGTTCATGCCTTTGAGATTAATGAGATCTCTGACTTGAATTGAGATTAATGAGATCTCTGACTCATTTGGAGTCTTTAATATAGCTACAGTTAAATGCTACAAACATCAAAGAAAAGAGCTTCTGGAGGAGGAAGGGGGATCTCTAGAGCTGTTAACACCAACAAAGAGCCTCGGCTATTATGTTCAAGATGTTACGTACTCCAGGCATCTCTAATGGCTCTTCACCCTTACACAAGTTACCCCAAATCCGATGTCTCAGAGTCACCTGTGAGCTGCCAGTGGGCTACTCTAGTTGTCTGGGAGCAACCTCCATGAACCACTACGATGACACATCAGCCCAGGTTTGACTACAGAGGGGAGAAAAACTAGCCTTTATAAGGATTTTTTTTTTTAGTTGTTCTGCTATTTTAGCAGGGGGGAGAGGAGCTTTTTTTTTTTTTTCTTGTTCTGTTGAAGGCCTTTAAAGAGAGTCCATATTAAGGAGTTAGTAGCAAAAGAGACTTGCGCTCTGCAGCCAAAAGTCAGAAATGGCCTACGCGCCAGGAATGTGCAAATGTTGTATCATGAGACACTGGCTCCAGTGGTGAAGTTTCCACCACACCCTCTCCACCCTCAGCTACTTTTTCCTATAATTGTGCTGCCATTCATCTCTTCCTTAGTTTTATCGGTACGACTACTTGTGGGGTTGAACTGTAAACCAGATCAGCAAAAAGATCTGGGTTAAAAACAGCCTTCAGGGCTTTCACTTGGTTTCATTTTAAAGGATATTTTAAACATGGAGCATGTTAGTGATTTGGTTGATGTGACAGCCCCATGAACAGTTGCATTGGGACAAATGAGACTGTTTGAATTGCTGGGACTGTCTTAAATTGTGCTGGCTACCAAGGCCAGCGTCCCGTTGAGCTGTTCCCCTGAATTTCCTGCACTGTCACCCTTGCAAGGCCAAAGCTGGGTCTGTGTAGGTGGGTCCAGGAATGGGCAGAGACAAGCTGCAGCTACGAAAGCTGGTTCGAGCATCCGTGGCCACTACTACAATGAGAAATCCTTCAGTAAGGCTGGTGGTAACCCTCTAAGATTGATACTTTGACTTGAAAGATCAAGCCTAGCTTTGAACTACTACTCACCCATAGGTGAAAGC